TGTCACCCACCAACCCAGCCAACAACATGCAGTCACCCACTGACCCAGCCAACACAGTCACCTACCAATCCAGCCAGCAACAAATGCAGTCACCCACCAACCCAGCCAACAACACACAGTCACCAACTGACCCAGCCAACAACACACAGACACCCACCAACCCATCCATCAACATCACAGTCACCCACTGACCAGTCAACATTGCATGCAGTCACCCACCCAACCCAGCCAACAATACAGTCACCCACTGATCCAGCCAACAGCACACAGTTGCCCACTGACCCAGCCAACAGCAGTCACCCACCGACCCGCCATCAACACACAGTCACCCACCAACCCAGCCAACAACATTGCACAGTCACCCACCGACACGCCATTAACACACAGTCACCCACCGACCCAGCCAGGAACAAATGCAGTCACCCACCGACACAGCCAACAACTCACAGTCACCCGCTGACCCGCCATTAACACACAAAGCCACCCACTGACCCGCCAACATCACACGCAGTCACCAACTGACTCAGCCAACAACATTCAGTCACCAACTGACCCAGCCAACAACACACACAGCCACCATCTGACCAGCCAATATCACATGCAGTCACCCACCGACCTAGCCAACATCAAGCGCAGTCACTCACCGACCCAGCAATCAACACAGTCATCCACCGACCCAGCCAATGACAGTCACCCACCAATCCAGCCAGCAACAAATGCAGACACCCACCAACCCAGCCAGCAACAAATGCAGTCACCCACCAACCCAGCTAACAACATGCAGTCACCCACAGACCCAGCCAACACAGTCACCTACCAATCCAGCCAGCAACAAATGCAGTCACCCACCAACCCAGCCAACAACACACAGACACCCACCAACCCATCCATCAACATCACAGTCACCCACTGACCAGTCAACATTGCATGCAGTCACCCACCCAACCCAGCCAACAATACAGTCACCCACCGACCCGCCATCAACACACAGTCACCCACCAACCCAGCCAACAACATTGCACAGTCACCCACCGACACGCCATTAACACACAGTCACCCACCGACCCAGCCAGGAACAAACGCAGTCACCCACCGACACAGCCAACAACTCACAGTCACCCGCTGACCCGCCATTAACACACAAAGCCACCCACTGACCCACCAACATCACACGCAGTCACCAACTGACTCAGCCAACAATATTCAGTCACCAACTGACCCAGCCAACAACACACACAGCCACCATCTGACCAGCCAATATCACATGCAGTCACCCACCGACCTAGCCAATGACAGTCACCCACCAATCCAGCCAGCAACAAATGCAGACACCCACCAATCCAGCCAGCAACAAATGCAGTCACCCACCAACCCAGCCAACACACAGTCACCAACCGACCCAGCCAACAACACACAGACACCCACCAACCCATCCATCAACATCACAGTCACCCACCGACCAGTCAACATCACATACAGTCACCCACCCAACCCAGCCAACAGTAGTCATCCGCCGACCCAGCCAACAACACACAGTCACCCACCGACCTGCCATCAACATCGCACAGTCACCCACCGTCCAGTCAACAACACACGCAGTCACCCACCGACCCAGCCAACAACACACAGTCACCCACCGACCCGCCATCAACATCCCACAGTCACCCACAGACCCAGACAGTAACACTCACTGATCCAGACAACAACACACATTCTCACTCACTGACCCAGAGAACAACATGTCAACTGAAGTATTAATTTGAGAACGCACTAAGACTTTCAGATGATTTACTTTGTTATAATAAACATGGTTATATCTGCATATGTTTCAATATTGGCCTCACTGGGCTCAGCAGTTTAGCCCCGCCAATTCATGCTAAAGTTATAAGAAGTGTTTCAACGTGGAATGAGTCACAAAACAGGGCAACCAGTCAGAACAAAACTCATTCACATGTATCAGTGTCAAAGGCATAGTTTAATTTTAAAGGATAAAGAGAGGCTGGAAAATGGTCATGTAAGACTGAATGACTGTTTTTGGTATATAAATTCTCACATAAGTGGAAAAAGTACACTCTCAAAAATAAAAGGTACTAAACTGTCACTGGGGCAGTATCTCTTTTATCACTGGGGTGGTCTCTTCAAAGGTACATCTTCAGTACTTTAGTGAGAGAACATAATTGTACCATAACCCACAGCAATTATATATATATATATATATATATATATATATATATATATATATATATATATATATATATAGGGGATATAATTGCTGCTATTTATAGTTAATAGAATAACAAATAAAAAAGATAATTTTTCACTTGCAATACATTCATAACCATGTTAATGATGAACATTGAATTAAGATATTTAAAGGGGAATTTCACCGATTTTTCTAAATTTCCTCATAGCTCGGCCATTGAGATGTAAACAAAGTCGCAGAGAAACTTACCGACTCAGATTTATTTACAGAGGTGATGATAGGAACCAGGGGTTGTGATGTCTACAACACAAATATAGCCATTTTGTTTACTATCCAGTGAACTTACACATGTCTTCTTTTTATATGTCTGCTGAAAATGATAAAATAGTGATAAATCTTAAAAAATATTATTTTTTTATGCTGCCTTAGAACACCCTGTATCTGCTTCTCTTCCATGAATTGCTCTAAAAACACGTTTTAGGCCAAAACTTTTTCAAAACCACTATAATACAAGGTGTCAGACATTAGGCAGCATATTCCTAATCAATACATATAATAGCTTTCTGTGATTGAACTTTTAGACACATTAAACTCCGTCTGGTTCCCATCACCACCACTGTGAATAGTTCTGATTCTAGTTTCTCTAGAATGAAACATTTCACATCAAACTACTCTGAATGACTTCGTCCACATTTTAATGATTTAATTATGCAGAAATTTTGAACATTTGGTGGAATTCCCCTTAAAGCTTAAAAAAACACTAGCAGATTACACTCTTTTAATGGAATAACTCTAAATCACTTTAACAGTTGCTCATATTAACACACTGATTCTGCTCTAGCAAGTGATCACAGCGCTCACAGCCTCAGATATCACGCACATCCACCCACACTCACACCCGTCCACTACACGTGGTCATTTTTGCTAGGGTTGAAAAAATGTATGGTGAGAATGTGAACCCATCTGCTTTGTTCTTTGGATCACAGAGAGAGAAAGAAAGCGAGGGAAGAGGGAGAGGGAGGAGGAACAACATGTGAAACAAATCAAATACAGTAATCCTCTTCTGCCTCCGTATCTGCCTCCGTTCACATCCATTGATTTCATGTATGGTTATTACTCAGATTGGCACTGACCAAAGATGGATGGATTTGCACCGCCTTATGAAGGAGATACAATGCAATACAAAGGCACTCATGCATAGAAGTTTTTTTTTATTCGCTGCATAAAACACATTTATTCCTTAGAGAGCTGCCAGTCTCCCGTCCTCTCAGCCTAGAAACACACACACACACACGCACACGCACACACACACGCACACACACATACACCTGTGAGCTGAGCGGAATTCTGCTTGGTGTTTAGGGAAATTTTCCTTCACAATGTTGATCCATATCTATCTGATCGCAATCAGGAGAACAAAGACTGCGGGATTCTCTCTTTCTATGTCACTGTGTCTCTTTCCCCATCTCTCTATCTCTCTCTCTCTCTCTCTGTGGGGGACAGAGCAGATCTAAAGGCAGCAAGCGTGCTTCCCCTGGCTTTGTTAATATCGACCCCACACGTGCAGCGTGTGTGTGTGTGTGTGTGTGTGTGTGTATTCACAACATCAGCAACTAGACACTGCGCTAGTGAAAGAGAGAGAGCTACAGAGAAAGATAGGGAGGGAGGGAGAAAGTGTATATATACACATACAGATAAACTGAGCGAAAAAAGAGAGAGTGATACAGAGAAACCGAGTGAAAGGTAGAGAGAGACTGAGCGAAAATAGAGAGATATGCAAAGACTGAAAGAAAGAAACAGATAAGTACTGAGACTGACACAAATGAGAAAAGGCGAGAGAGGCTGAGAGAACGAGAAAGAGAGAGACAGAGAGACAGAGAGAGAGAAAGAAAGAGAGAGACTGGAAGAAGTGAAAATACAGAGACGCTGAGAAAAGAATAGAGGGCTACTAACAGAAAGAAAGAGAGAGATATGGAGAAAGGAAAAATGAAGAGAAAATGAAATATTGAAAGGAAGAAATGGAGACAGAGAAAGGAAGGGAGAAAGAAACAATCAGACTGAAATAAAGAAAAAGAAAGATACAGTGAGACTGAGAAAAAGGAAGAGAGAGAGATACAGAGTGGCTGATAGAAAGGAAGAGAGAGATACAGAAAGGCTGATAGAAATGAAGGAAGCGATATACAGAGACATATACAGAGAGACTGAGAGAAAGGAAAGAGAGAGATACAGACAGACTAAGAGAAAAGAAAAGAGAGATACAGGGAATCAGAGAAAGAAAGATACAGGGAGATACAGACAGACTGAGACAAAAGAAGAGAGTGAGATAAAGGACGGGAGAAATAGAGAGACTAAGAGAAATAAAAAAGAGTGAGATAAAAGAAGAGGGAGAAAGATACAGAGCTACTGAGAGACTGAAATAAAGGAAGAGAGAGCGAGAGAGAGAGAGAGAGAGAGAGAGAGAGAGAGAGAGAGAGAGAGAGAGATGCAAAGATAAAGAAGAGGCGGAGATTGCAGATAGCAAGCCAACAGATAAACAGGTAAACAGAGGCATCTTCTCATCTCATCTACTTTAAATTCCAATCAGCTTCACAGTTAGAATAAAGAACTAACGCACTAAACACACAAGCTGGTTCAGTGTGTGTGTGTGTGTGTGTGTGTGTGTGTAATTGCTGTGATATTGTAAGCTGATAGGGAAAGATGCACACAAAGCAGAGGGCTGTGATCTACACTGCATCAGATCAGAGAGAGGGAGAGAGAGGGAGAGAGAGAGAGAGAGATGGAGAGATTAAATTCTTACCACTGTCTTGTAGGAGGTTTTGGAAAGTTCCTTCAGTGGGCGTATTGGAGGAGTGTTATTCCTCTTTTTCTCTCCTTTCTCCCTCTTTCCTTCTCCGTGTGGGTCTCAACCTGCTGCTGATGTCTGGCAAGCTGCAGGCATAGCATACACTCGCGCGCGCACACACAGGCACTCACACTCATACACTCATTGGAGGATCTAAGAGCAATCGGGGGCCACGAGCTGATCAGGGGGACTCTGGAGAGGACGAGAGAAAAGAAGCGACCGTTCAGGGCGACACCAGGGGTGTGTGTGCATGTTTAAAGCCTGTGTGCTTAAAGCATTTGTGGCTTCTATCAAGATACAGTGAGGGGAAACAACTATTCAGACATATTCATTCAGACAACTATTCTTGTTTTTTCATTAGTACTTTGTTGCAGAGCTGTTTTTGGCATTTGTGACTCTAGCTTTGTTGATGCTATGGTGGCTTTAAAAAATGGTTAGCCCACCTCTGGCCAAGTGTGTAAAAATGTTATGAACTGGTCTGTATTGTTACATGATGTGCTGTGACCAGAAGGCATAGTCAGAGGTGTAGTCTGAAGTACTGGTTAAACACTGACAAGCTATTAGCAAGAATAGGCTAGTAACATAACAACATAACTGAAACACTTTACCAGGTATATAATTGTTTCTTATTATTATGGCTATTAAGACTTGTTATCTCATAATAACAAGATTGTATCTCAATAATGGCATAGAATCTTATAATAATACAAATGAGAAAGTTTCTCATAATAATGACTTAAAATCCTAAGATAATAATTACTGACTCACTCATATTTAGGAGAAAGTATGTCATAATTATCAGATAAGAAGTCATAATTATGACATGCCAAATCATGACAGTCATTATTTTGAGATGCTAAGTCATAATTATGAGATATAAAGTCATAATTCGGAGATTGAATCTCATTATTATGAGATACGAAGTTGAAATTATGAGATTGCAATTATGAGATTCATAACTATGACATAGTAAGTCATTATTATGAGATACTACACCGGTCAGGCATAACATTATGAGCACCTCCTTGTTTCTACGCTCATTGTCCATTTTATCAGCTCCACTTACTATATAGGTGCACTTTGTAGTTCTACAATTACAGACTGTAGTCCACCTGTTTCTCTGCATACTTTGTTAGCCCCCTTTTACCATGTTCTTCGGAGGTCAGGACCCCCGTGGACCCTCACAGAGCAAGTACTATTTGGGTGGTGGATCATTCTCAGCACTGCAGTAACACTGACACAGTGGTGGTGTGTTAATGTGTGTTGTGCTGGTAGGAGTGGATCAGACACAGCAGTGCTGCTGGAGTTTTTAAACACTGTGTCCACTCTCTGTCCACTCTGTTAGACACTCCCACCTTATGGATGTAAAGTCAGAGACGATAGCTCATCTGCTGCTGCACAGTTTGTGTTGGTCATCCTCTAGTCCTTCATCAGTGGTCACAGAACGTTTTGGTTTAAAGTGGGTGGGACCAGTTTTATGAAGAAAAAAACATCACTTTAGGCTTTGGGAAGTGATTTTTATCATTTTTTTGGCCCAAACTGAAGGCCTAGCTGCAATTATCACAGTTCGCCACTATACTGTCCTATACTGTGGCTCATTCGAAAAGCAGTTCGGGCTGAAACACTCCTTATAACCTCATCGTGAATGAGAGGGATATGAACATACGTTGAATAGGTGGACATATGTAAATGCATTGATTTTGTTACAAATATAAAACATTATAAAATGTTTACATGCTATGTCAAATACTTTCAATTAAAAAAATGAGTAAAATTAAGTATTTCAAAATTTAAGCCCTTCAATTCATAAGCCACATGCACAGTGAGTAACACTGCTGATAAGAATTTGATTTGAATAATCATTCAATGTTTTTCTTTCTTGTGTCAAAATTTCATATCTAATGTTAATGACAGAAAAATGTGCATAATTGCACATTTGGAGCCACATGCGGCTCTTCTGCTGCCCTGTTACGGCTCCACAGCAGAATTAGATTTTTAGGTAAAAATGAAACAATCCTCCTTTGCAGTAAAATTAAGCTCTGCTTATCATTCAAACACAGTTTTAACAGTAAATGGTCTTAAACACTTGAGTTGTATTATGTATAACTGCTAATTTTCCCTTTAACCCTTAACTTTTAACTTTAACCTTTAACTTTCGAGGAAAAGTATCCTGCCGGAGATGCGAGAAAAGCAGCTATAGCTGAGCTGAAGCTTAAAGCAGAGCAAAATAAGTCTGTGTTTTCGTTTATACTAACATATTTTTTAGCCTTTAGTAGCACATCAGCACATACTGAGACATATTTACAACCAAGATGGTAAAATGAACATAAAGTATTGTGGCTCCCAATGTGGCTTGATTTTTTTGAAAGGACAAAATTGCTCTTACTAACATTTGGGTTGCCGACCCCTGGTATATGCAAATCCTGGTGGTGGTCCTCTGCAGGTAAAATTGATAATGCAAAACACAAATTATTTATTTATTACTCATTACAGTCTGTTGAAAGAGCTGTGGGTAAGGCATGGTTAAAAGTGCAGCCTCCCAGTTTTTTTTGCTGTGCTGAGTTTGATGTAGGACTGTAGTAGATTGCAGTGCACACGTGATTTAGTCTTGCCACAACAGTGGCGGCAATTTCACACCTCTGCACATAATCCCAGTCATTATCCCGCACCCCTGAGGAGGAAGACGTTAAAGAGGCCCCCAGAGCCGGAGATGAGTTCACTGCAGTTTATAATTCCAACTGTGTCATTTTATACCGATATCCATCACTTATGTACATCTATCTTTCTCTCTCTCTCTGTATCTGTGAGCTCATGGAGAGAGTCTTGTACGTTCTCTGAATTGTAAATCTTAAGCCTTTGTCTTTTATTGTGGACTGCTAGTGTGATAACTGATGAACTTTCTCTTGGTGGAATGTGTGATGCGGCAGTTTTAGAGATATGCTGGTTTGGTCAGGACAACAGTCAAACGTTTATGCTTTTAACAGATCAGTGAAGTACGTGTGGGACGTGAGAGTGATGGAAATGTATCAGCCTGTGCTGCATTAGTGACACTTATTTTAGCATTACTGAAACAATGAGGTGGAAAAACAGAAAAATATAATAATTATTCATGGAGCTATATTTAAATATTTTTTATTCTTTGTGAAGAATCTTGTCTTTTACTAATAAATTATTATTTCATTTATTTCTATTCTAAAGACAACTATTGTCTTTTATGTTTATTTATGTCATTTATGTTTATTTCCTCTTTAAAGCACTTTTAAAACTTGTTTGAAAATGTAGTATACAAATAAGTATTATTATTATTATTATTATTATTTGCATATAGGCTGAGGAGCAGTAAAGCCTTGGTCAAATTTAGCTCCCCTTCTTTTTTCTCTGTACTTTTTTCTTTCTCTCTTCTTCTCCTTCTTTCTCTTTTCTTGTTCTCTCCCTCTTTTTCCAGCCCTTTCTCTCTTTCTCCCTATCTTTTTCCCCACCTCTCTTTCTCTCTCTGTTTTTTTCTCTCTTTCCATCCCCCTTCTCTCTCCCCATTTCTCTTTCTCTCCCACTCTCTTTCTCTCTCTATTTTTTCTCTTTCTCGCCCTCTCTTTCAATCCCTTTCTCTTTCTCTCTCCCTATCTCTCTCTCTCTCTCTCTCTCCCTACCTCTCTTTTTATTTCTCTCGCTCCCTATCTCTCTTTCTCTTCATCTCTTTCCATCCCTTTTCTCTCTCTATCCCTCTTTCTCTCCACTTATCTCTCTCTTTCCCTCCCTCTCTCTTTTTTCTATTTCTTTCCTCTCTCTCCCTCTCTTTCCATCTCTTTCTCTTTCTCTCTCTCTCTGTATCTCTCTCCCTATCGCTCTCTCTTTCTCTCTCTCTCCCTCCCTATTTCTACAACTGGCACCATATGGTCCAGTTCTTTCTCTTCCTGTTCCCAGCCTTCCCCTTGCTCTGCCCGTTCCGCTCCTGAACAGATGGAGGGCGTCAGCAGGCAAATCTATTCTTATTTCATCCTCACTCTGGCCCTGAATTTTGAAAATCTCTCATCTCATTATCAATACATACATTTTAAATAAATGAAGCAGATCTGGATCACCCTGTTGTGTGGGATTTTAAAACCACTGTTGAAAGATTGTTGTGAATCTTTCACTTCAGTTCAGTTCAATGCAGTGAGTTTCTCAGCATGATCACATATAGTTACAGTACTTCCAGTGGCTGACTTGAGGAGGGATGTAAGAGGATGTTGTTCCCTCAGTTACAGAAATAAAAAGAGATGAAAATCAACCCCTTTGTAAATCTGTTTTTTCATTCCTTTTGGATCAATGTCTTTATATGAATTCTTATAAATGCAAAATCTAATGACTGTAGGCCTCAGGCCGTAAAGTGTCCTGTAAAATAAGCTATTTGAATCAGAGGATATCTGACCAATTATTTGAAAAAATTAACAAGTACAGCTACAGTTCATGAACTAAATACTACCACCCCTCGAAACTGGTTAAACCCATCACCCAATCACAATACTGTTACACCATGCCGATAACTGGCGAAGCATTGCTGAAACAAGAATGAACATGTAGAAGTTTAAGAAGTCTCAGAAAATTCAGTATTTAAAGAATAAGCAGCAATAATAAGATAAAATTAAAATAAAAAGGGCAACAAATTTTCTGTTGGTCTTCTGTGTGTGTATGTTGTTTTGGGTTTGCTTGGGTCACTCCCTGTCCCTCACCTTGTGGCTGGATGACAAATCAAAGGAAATACCAACATAAAGTGTTTCAGGAAGGTGCTGCTCGGCCATGGAAACCATGGAAAAGTGATTTAACATAAGATAGGCACTGTGCCCTTCAGCACTCTGGCTTCGGCACTCTGTGAGTTTGCATGGTCTACCACTTCGTGGCTAAGCTGTTGTTGCTCAAACGTGCGTCCATTTTACAGTAATAGCATTTACAGTTGACTGGGGCAGATCTAGCAGGACAGAAAGTTCTCAAACTGACTTGTGGCAAAGGTGACATCCTACGTCAGTGCCAGGTTTAAAGTCAATAAGCTCATCAGTATGACCCATTCTACTGCCAGTGTTTGTCTATCAAGACTGCAAGG